GCGATCCCCACAGTGCTCTGGATCCTCCAGATTGAAAAATCAGTCTCCCCATAAATATTTAAAATTCACTGTGTTTGCAAGTCAGTGGGAAACAACAACTTGTTAGACTCTTCCCTTACAGGGTTTTATAATTTAGGAGCTAGGAAGATGGGTTGGCGACTAAAGTGACTGCTTCTCACACATGAGGACCTGAGTTTGGGTCCCCAACTCCCACCTAAAAAGCCAGGTGCTAGCCACATGTCAGGGCAGGCAAGGGAGGGGTGTGGGGTAGACTGACAGAGACAGATGGATCCCTGGGGCTTGTTGGCCAGCCAGTCTAGTTAAAACCCAGGCTCCATCCCTGAAGGGAATAGCAGGGTGCTGCACTCATCCTTCCATCCCATAATTCTGTCTCCTGTATCCTCTTCCCACCCCACCCCCCTTTTTGCTAGCTCCATTCCTTTCTCCCCACTCACATTTTCCACTTTTCGTTCCTTGCCCTTAGCTGTGGTGTCGTCACTGGCTCTGGGCTTTTCTGATTCCTTATTTCCTAGTCCCTTGTGTCTACAATTCCCGAAGGTGGCTGCGGAAAGCCCCATCCATCCTCTGCTGAAGTCCCTAGAAGATCCTGCCTCCCACTTGGGAGGGCTAGTGTCCTGTGGTCAAACCTTTAGCTTCCAAAGTCTTAGGGACAGGGACACAGTCAGTCCTCCAGGCCCTTGCTCCTCCCTGTCCTCCAGGACTCTGGCCACTGCTAGATAGAGCCTGGTTCTCCATGTTTATACTTCCTGGGCTCTGGAATGTTGGTATGTGTCCTCGTAACTACCAAGCATGTTGTTTATGGTTGGGCCCGTGTGAGCTTGTATGTCAAGCTATGCTGTCTTCCTAACACCACAGTGGATTGTCCACTGCCTCCAGCCTCCTGGATTTCCCATGACTGCCAATGACCAGGTTTTCTGACCTCTTCCCATGTTTGCCCACCCTATGGTGACTCAGCTCTCACTTTCAAACACACCTGCCCATGGCCCTGCGGTCCTAGTAATCCAACCCCTGGGAGAACGACCATGTGGCATCCATGACCCCATTTAATCCTCATATTGCCATTTCCAAGCTGGGATAACTATCTAAGAGCTTGTAAACATCATCTTCCTTGTTGTGGCTCCCCACCCCTTTCCTCACCTTTGTCACAAATGTCTCTCTTCTGAGAGCACCTCTCTTCCAATCACTAAGACTCAGAAACACACTTGAGAAATCTAGATTTTCAGGTAGGCATTTTCCTAGGCCCTGAGAAGTCATTCAGAATGAAAGATTCTAGAAGAGGGAAAATCTGAGGTCTGGCATTTGCAAGTGACTGGAAAGCAGGGGTCAGACCTCTGGCTCTAAGTCTGGACACAAAGCTGATTTTTACCTCAGTACTACAGAGTCCTGCAGGTTCTGGGTGAAGCCGAGTTTTGTTTCAGACAGGAGCCAAGCCTTGAAGGAACCTAACACCCACTCCCCT